CTGGCGGCGCATCCCGTCCGCGGGGTAAGTCTTCTGATTCAGGACCAGCGCTTAGGGACCGCGGGAGGGAGAGGGCTCGCCCGCGGGGTCGGGAGCCCCGTCGGGACTGGGGAGCTGCTGGGCAACGGCCTCCAAGGCCCCCGGCTTTGGCAAGGATCCCGCCCGGACGACTCACCCCTCGGCCATGGGGGGGGGGAAGGAATCTGTGGGCTCCTCTGGAGGAAGGGCGAAGTGGGTGGCAGAAAGAAAAGTTGGCAGCCTCGTTGCCCTGCAGCGTGGAGGTCCTAGAAAAAGTGGCTGGGGAGGGGGGAAGGACCCCGATGTGATATGTGGGACTCAACTACTCCCTCCCTGCTCCCTGGGGCTGCCCGGGGTTCGCTGCCCCCCTGCAAATCCTTGCTGGGAACCCTAAAGTGACATCCTTGTCTATAATCAGGTTTGAGGAGGGGATGGGAGAATATATGGGATTATTTTTCTGCTGGAGCAGGCACGTGGAGTTGGCTCAAGGCCAAAATACCAGGAGGCCCCCTCCTGTCAGTTCCCGCCTCTGCCTTTGAAGCCTCTACTCCGAAGTAAGTTGCAAAGGGAGCAGAGGTTGGCAGGTCTTTTTGTGACCGGCTTTATCCTCCATCCTCACCTCCCTGGCATACATCAGTGGCAGAGCTCTGCTTTTTGTCATTTCCCTCCATGGCCTAAACTGGCACGCTGAGCTTCAGTGACCCCTGGAGCTGGGCTGGCCTGGCCTGGCCTGACAGGCCGGGCCAAAGCGAGGGTTGTGATTCAGACACTCGCAAAGACGCAAAAGAAGACAGGGAGAACTGAAAGAGACGTTAAGGTTGTTTTTGCTCCCCTCTCTTCATCCTTGGGTGGTTTCCAAGCCCCATCGGTGGGGAAAGGGGGATCCCAAATATTATTCTAGATTATATCATATTATTTCCTGCTGATGAAAGGGAAAGAGGTTAATTGCTACTGCCCCCTCATTCCAGGATGTGCTCTGACATCTCAGGAATAAGCTTTCATTTGATTTGTGTCTGCTACCAGTCCCTGGGTGATTTTTCTGAAGGAAGTGGCGGTCCCAGTTTCTAAAATATCTACTCTCCCTTGAAGGACAGCCTTGTGCCCCTGAGCAGAGGAATTTGTTAAGTTGGCAAGCCGTTGCTGATTTCTGCACATCAACCTTATATTAAATGAGGCAGGAGCAGGTCAAATCTTTTTTTTTTTTAAAATATCCTCTTGTGACTTGCAAATTCTATTATGAACACATGTTCTAGGATAAGATTTCTTTTTCTTTTTTTTTAAGATTCACAGATGCCTGGGACTAAGCGTTCAGTTCAGCAGTCGCTTGAAGCTATTAATTTTAAGCGTTGTGAAAAAGGCCATAAATTTAATATCAAGCAGGATATGATAGCTTCTGTGCAGGGTCGTTGGCTAGTCTGAACTCAGGTAGCAAAATGTATTGTGCCAATTTTGGCTGTGTTCACCCAACATGCTAGGGGCTAGTTTGTGGTTAGTCTGAACCCAGCTTTCCCAGTTAGCCTATGGCTGGGTGTATTGTGTGAACCCAGGCACTTGGGTTAATTCAGTTAGCCATTATCCCTTTAACTGTGGCTTATTTGGGCAAACATAGTCTCTGTAAGAGCTTTTCTTCACACATGGCCTCTGAAATGCATGCAGGAAAAAACTGGCTTTATAGCAAGTGGGTTTTTCTTCAAAGATAATTTTCAATAACTGTCTTGTGTTTTTGTCTGTACCCTTACAATCTTCTTCAAAGTTACGGGCCAGAAAATTGAAGCTTATGTGAAATTGCAAGATCTCACTTCCTTCATTTCAGGCGTTCAGCCCTACTAATTGGGCCTGTTGGAAGTTAGTTTATCAGCACCTGGAGGATGGCAGATTTCCCACTGTTGGGGCTTGGGCATCATGAGGTCATCACACAAATGAAGTGATGTGTGCAGTGACACAATGCTGACAGTCACCTTCCCCCTAGAATTATCCTTCTGCAAAAGTTACAGTAAATAGGGGGTTTCCTCTGCCAAACACCTTGATTTGGGCTGCAGTGTGTCACCAATTAACGGTGTTAGTGTCATCCATTCAGACAGTTGTGAATCAACTAAAAATGGTTGCAATTTATTGGGCAGTATGTGTGTGTGTACACATGCAGATGTTAATATATTACAAATGAGCTGCATTGTTTTATTTCCTTTCTGTTGTACAAGAAGGAATACAGGTAGTTGTCGCTAACCATTTAACGACAGTTTGAAGTTATGACAGCCACAGAAAAAGTGCTTTATGACCTGTACTCACACTTACGACTGTTGCACTATCCGATCGTGATCATGATTTGCGACCTTTTTTATGATGGTCATTAAGCAAATCACTATGGTTGTTAAGCAAATCACGTTGTTGTTAAGTGAGTCATGTGGTCGTTAAGCAAATTCCAGCAAAAAAGTCCATTAGGGAAGTTGGATTTGCTTAACAGACATGTGATTTGCTTAACGACCATGTGGTTCACTTAATGATTGTTGTAAAAATGGTCATAAAATCGGGTCTGGTCATGTGGTGGCTCACTTAATGACTGCCCTGCTTAATGACCAATTTTCTGGTCCCTATTATGGTTGTTAAACAAGGACTATCTGTCTTGCTTTTGATATGACCCTTGGTTTGCTGTGGTGTACCTGAAGACGAAAACAAAGATGGCTTTTTGTGAGCTTGTATCAAAACTTGTTTTTTAGCTGCATACTCATTTGTACAAACTTAATAAAATCAATTTAGCAGGTGTAATAGTCTAGATTTAACATGTGCATATGTCAGGCATGTAGGTGTTCTGCAATTAGTTTCCAGACTGGGTTTGCTCATTGATTTGGCTCTATGTATCCTGCAAGCCCAGCTACGTGGTTCTATTATGGTTCAGGATGTTGTGTGAACCCAGCCAATAGGATTAACCTAGTTAACCACAATTAAGTAAAGATGGTTTAATAAGTTCTGGAAACTGAGCCACTCTGTTCAAGTGGAGGTATATAGTGAAGTTCAGGAGCGTGAAATTGCAGGTCTTTGCACAGGCAAGAACAGCAGCAGCTTCTCTCACATTTGGGGTTAGAGTGGTCAACCTGCTGATCAAACTTCTGTTCAAGGCA